ATTAGAGAAATTACTGATAAGATGTCCAAAATATATGTGCATGTATATCAAGATTTTGCTGTAGTATGTCAATGGTATTGAATGCCCGCTGAGGGTAAAACATTTGTCAGATTTAAAATTTAATTCTGACTCTGTTGGTTTTAATTTTCTGACTCATGTATAAATTTAAGTAAAGTTGATATTTTTAGATATAATATGTTATTAAAGTCTCACCACGTACAAACATAAAATGAGATTCACAGAAATAAACAAATCATGAAAAACATTTGCATTGTATGCACCAATCTTTCATTAGATAAATGAGAGACTTTTGAGACACAATATATAAATATAAACACATTTTTACTCATTTACATTTATAATTTACAGTGTCCATATACTAAATGAAAATAAAACATCTTTTTCTTTAAGAACTAGTGAAATAAAATGCCGTTTCTTTTCAATAAAATATTGTTGATGTTTTTGGCAACTATTGCAGCAACATTGTCGTTGTTAAATAAAAATATGAATTTTTCGCTATCTGATATTTATAAGTTAAAATGTTTAGCTTAATGTATCATGATATGTCTATAACGAGCATTTTAAAAAGACATGAAGTTCATCTTCAATAGTATAGCTCCACAACATGTCATCTCGTGGACTTCTGTTTTTTCATACCTTCCAGTTTCTATTTTCAGTGGAGCTACCCCACATCTAAATCTTACAAAAGCTCTTCTGTTTTTAATAGACAGAATATTTTTAACAAATCACAATTGGTCAACAGTATATTTGTTTCCCCATTTCGCTCAGTTCAACAGAAATTTCAATTTTAGCCTTTCTATTGTAGAAATGTCATCATGAATGTTATTCTTTGTACGTAGAACATGTATCATTATATAGACAATAACTTTTTAGTGTCTTTAAATATCAGCTGTATTTGTACGAGGCTAAGAAACAGGTGTAATGCGAGCTTTGGCAAGCTATTACTCCTGTTTCGAGCCGAGTACAAATACAGCTGATATTTAAAGGCACTAAACAGTTATTGTCTTTATCATGCAATTGATTCTGTATATTGTTTGTGCTTTGAAAGACACAAAAACTCACATTTTTTGCATTTATTTTCGATTTAAAATCCTTTGATGCTCGCGTAGTAATATTATAATCACACATTCAGCTGAAGACGGGTTCGCAAAAAAAAAAAAAAAATCTCGAATGATCAACATTAATACATCACCCAAGGTGAATAGTTATCTATTTTAACATAACATTTAATTTCAACAGTAAAAACAAATATTAAAACACTGTTCAATTTGAAACAGAAGAGTACGATTTGTCCTACGCTTCAGAATTTTGAACTGAATTTGACATTCACTTAACATGCATGCTGAAATCGACATGATTGATTTTATTACACATGTAAACATTCAAGTTTTGAAATCGATGATTTACGTCGTAAAAAATGCTGCTGTTCATGTTTGTTTGTTATCAGAAAATTGGTTTAATTCTTATTGCTCTAAAGAATGTTTGAAAACAAACAGAATGTATAAAAGTATCGTTAGTTCGCATTGGAATGCGACTGCAATACACATTCTGAGGTCACGCACGTAACACGGTTAATTAAGAATGAATGATTGATGAGCGCACGGTACACGGTTATGAATGAATGAACGATGCACGCACGTTACACGGAAAACACACGGAATGAAGAATAATGAGCGCAAGGTTGGTACACGCACGATACACGCTCGATACACGATGAACGCACGGCAAAATGGTCAGTTATAATTTTAGAAGGTCTGTATATGGGACTACTATACTGTTAGTATAATAGTCCCAGGATATATACACTATATATAACCTATTACACATGTCACTATATATCATTATTAAACATTTTTATACACCGAAATATAAACCAACAAATGGTAATTTTTATCTGTCTCCAAACCAACATACAGCTTTACTAGAAATGAAGAAGTAGATAATTGTAGAATAGTTAGCACACTTTTTTTTTGTTTGTATTTAGCAATATTCATATAAAATATCATGAAAAAGATGTTAAAATAGATGACAAGAAGCAGGGGCGGTTCCAAAACCTTAATGTCCGGGGTTGAGAGTCACCAGTAAACGAAATTATATATTTAATTTAGAGATGTATATATGCGAGTGTAGTTGGTTATAGGGGAAGAGTGTCAGATAATAGTTTCAATACTTCTATGTCATTAAAAAATTCACCATTCCACTCTATTCTTTATTATTATGCCGATTTTATTCGTCCTAACCATGCATGAACTATTTGTCACTGGGCGTTAAGCAACCATAAATCAATTAATCTATTCTTTATATTTTCATCTCTTTATTCTGTTATCTGAAGTGCTTATATCATTACTTTATTTCTATAAACCCCATTTATTTACACATAAATGATGATCCTTTCATAGCCTCATATATGTACATGTACATGGTATTTGGAAAAGGAAAAATATACCGTCGTATATAACTAAAATTGAGAATGGAAATGGGGAATGTGTCAAAGGGACAACAACCCGACCATAGAGCAGACAACAGCCGAAGGCCACCGATGGGTAATCAATGTAGCGAGAAACTCATGCGTATACATGCATTACTGTATGCATATGCCTGAACTAATAGATGCATAAACTTGTACAAGTCCCAGATTGTGTTATAAAGTATTTAGCATAAAAATACAGGAGCATTTTATTTAAAATTATATACTAGACAATGCCAATCCAATCTTTCTTTCTTTTTTTGTTGAAGAGGGGGAGGGGGAGAGGGTCAGGATCTTTTAAAACAAAACATTTGTTGGTTTCTTTTCAACATAAGAACAAAATGCGACATTCAGTTCTAAAAACAAATCTTGTATGAAAAAAGTTTGTTGTTGAATAAATTCACAAAAGAGACAGTTTCGAAATATAAAAAAAAAATGCAAGACATGGTAATGCGAGAGTTGTATTATGAAGACATGCGTATCGGTACTACTTGCCACTTAACATTTATTTGTACATATTCCTTAAACAGACTTTAAAATTGAGAATGGAAATGGGGAATGTGTCAAAGAGACAACAACCCGACCATTTTTAGTTTGTAATTTCTTTCCTGATCAGAATATTCTACCAGTTAATCTATAATATTAACCCATACACACAGGTGTCAATATTTACACATCTACCGATAATTATAAGTTGTCATAAATATAACTACTGACGAACCATATTACATATTTTAAAAGTCTAAATTGAAAACAACGTTCAAACCTAGGATTACGTTGGATAAAAACCGAAATTTTCATGCGTATACATGCAAAACAAAATTCTTGATATAGGGGTCTAAATAATTCACAAAAAAAAAACATTTTCCAAAAGACAAAAAAAGGTGAAAAGGGGTATTTTAACAAAAAATGTATATGGAGAAATAGATAAATTTATTTTATAAAATTTTAATCCCTTAAAAATGAGGCACTATTATTTAGCTTAAATTTTATTTTGTTAACTCGGATAGAAAACTTACAATATAGTCTATCATATTGAAACATGAACGCGGACCCCTATGAGAACACCTGAATTGAAAGATTGCAAATCTACCGACTAATGAAATGCTTTGGATTTTGAACGCGGACTTCAACGAAAACACCTAGATCGAAAACACACTATAATCTTTAGACCGTCGAAAAGTAGCGGGAATTCCAGACTTCTTCTTCTTCTTCTTTTTCTTTTAGGTCAAATAAGGTCACAATATGGAAGAATACATGTTGCTGCGCATGCGTGACTGGCATTGATTTAATCAAATTCATCAAAATATGAAATAACAATTTAAGTGTTTGTATATATACAGATTGTGATTAAACATTACCGTTTTATGTACATGTTTTGGTTTGAATTTGTTTATTCAAAGCTCGAGGAACAACTAATGTTAGCCGATCTCTAAAGCTGGCAACAGTGGTGGTAGATATTCATAGGTTTTTTTACATAAACAAACACTTTTACATATACACATGTCTCTGTTTTTAGACGAATTTAGACTAAGTGTGTATATGTCTTCGCTGATAATAATTTTATGTTAGATAAACATAAGTATTTAGAATTAAAAGTTGTATAGTTATAAATAGAGCATTTTCAAAATTATTTGTTATTTAGGCTTAATGAAGATCTACATCATTAAACGAATAAAAGTAAGAAGATGTGGTATGCTTGCCAATAATGCAACTCTCCACCTTGGACAAAACAACGTATACAATTTAGATTTTTAGATCACCGTACAGCCTTCAACAACGAGCGAAACCCAAACCGCATAATCATTTATATAAGTTCCCAAAATTACAAATATAAATTCAAACAATTCAAACGAGAAAACTAACGGCCCGATTGATGTACAACACTTAAAAAATAATTTACAACAACGACAACCACTGGTTTCAGCAAAAAAGGGGGTTCCAAGAATCGAATCTTTGCGATTATAAAAATAATCTATACAGATATAAATAAATTTGCTCAACAATGAAGATGTAATGTTACACATTTTAATATTAAAAAAATCTTACAAATGTATCTCGACAATGGAACAAAACTTTTGTGTATTTTCTATTTATCTCTTTTTGCTCATTTCAATTTTTTAACGCATGTACAATATAGTAGTTTTCACTGAAATGAAAACATGAACTAAGAATATGTTAGTGATCGTTTAAATACTGGACGCAATTTTTCAAATATCACATATTCCAAGGTAAATTGTAAAAACTTTTAACGTTATAGGTTTCTTAATGTTCTTTTTCGTTGATGAACGTATCAAAATAAAGGTATTTTTCTTAATCGATATGCATTAAAGTCTTTTTTGTTGCTAGATCTGTCTTTTTATGTATTTTAAAACATTTCGATATCGAACCGTTTTTGATTCTTTAATTTCTTTTAAAAACTAAACAAATGATGTCTTGTTTAAAACGCTTAACACGTTAGCTGGCCTACAAAAAAAAAACCCATTTGTTTTGATAAATACATGTATCTTACCTTCTGGTTTGACAGGTTTTTTATTTCCCCCTGAAATAAAGAGTCGAACCATTGCGATGATGATAATAATGTATACAAATATAAATAAATGTGTTCAACGATGAATCTGTAATGTTACACATTTTAATAAATCAAATCTTACAAAAGTCTCTTGACTATGGAACAAAACTTTAATGTATTTTCTATTTATTTCTTTTTGCTCATTTCAGTTTTTAACGCATGTACAATATACATGTATTAGTTTTCAAGTTTACATTCATACAGATTTGTCAATAGCATGTTTCCTCATTTTGAGTCGCACAAATGAGCAGACGAACAAAAATATGTCATTTAGGTTATACTTACTTTTATTCCGACACACACGTTTATATAAAAATAAAAAAATGTGGTTGGATTTCCAATGAGACAACTCTCCACCAGAGACCAAAGGACATAGAAGTTAACAACTATAGGTCATTGTACGTTAAACCGAATACGCGTTAATATAGATTCATTTTTAGAATTTGTGATTCCCTTTATATTATTTTTCGTTTTCAATTCTTATACTTTGTTATAGAAAGGATTATTTAATGTTATGTATCTATATTTTTCAAATCAATACTTCAGTTCCATTCATCCATGCATCATGTAGTAACATACACAAGAGAATGGCGTTAATACATGGTTGTTTTAATAAATACATGTTTCTTACCTTCTGGTTTTGCAGGTCGTTTTTCATTTTCACCTGAAGTAAAAAATCGAATCAATACGATTAAAATAATATATATATACAAATATAAATAAATTTGTTCAACAAGGAATCTCTAATGTTACACATTTTAATAAAAAAATCTTATAAAAGTCTCTTGACAATGGAACAAAACTTTTGAGTCAAAACGCTTGAGATGTGTAAATAAAAGAAAAGTGTGGTATGTGTCAAGACTTTTGTCAATTTCTTTTGGTTACAATTTGAGACAATCGTTTTTAGTCAAAGGGAGCTAAAACACAGGTTCAACAAAGGATTGTATAATAGAATTTTATTAACTTTACTGAATTTCACATTTTATTGTATAGGTCAAGTTTGGAAAATGATGAGACATACGTTTTTAGTCAGAGGAAACTAATAAAAAGTCTCTACTAAAAATTATATCAAAGCTTTCACTGAATCATTGAACTACAAGTTCAGGAAATCTTGTAATAATCAAGTTTGGACAATTTTAGACACTAGTTTTTAGCCAGTGGAAGCTATTACACTGTCTGAAGTAAATTTTCCTCTTCATTTCATAGCACATCATATTTTATTAAATTAAATCTTACTATAATTAGTGTGAGGTAAGATGTACTTTTAATACATGAATATCTAATATTATGTCCCGTGAGGTCGGATGTACTTTTGATAAATGAGTATCCAATATTTTGTCCCATATCTGCTCGTATTTTCAAAAAATGAGAGAAAATCATAGCAGATATTGTTTTACTCTTTATAAGTATTTATATAGTATTTGAATCAATCTTTTGAAAGATACCCTAGGCAACTGTCTAAAAATTCACTAAAGATGTACTTAGTATTGATAAATTTGCAAGTTGTTTTTATTGGTCTTGAGCTTGACTACATTGTGTAATTTTGATCTCAAATATTTGCTACTGTTATGTGTTGTAATAATATATATATGTATCAAAATAAAGTATTTGCCACTTCTGAATTGTTTGGTATAAGTTTGTGATATCAGTCTCAAGAAGACCCTCCACGTTCACTATTAATAATCGAATATGAGTTTAGGCTTGATCTTAAGACACATAGGAATCACTTCTCGAAAAAAAGAGGTCGGTTGTCCTTCGTTTTAGATCTAGATAGGGAATTAGGTAGTCTAGGTTTTCGTTTGGGTTTATATATTTAGAGGTTTCGGTGTATTTGTGTTTCTGCCCTTTTCTCCATTGACCCGCTACACTATATTTTCCTTGACTGTAAATGACGTCTTAATACTATATACATTAGAAGTTGAATGTTAACTGATTAATATTTTAGTATTAGAAACATAATTTTTCATTAGTTGATATTGGCTTGGAACTAGTTTCAGTAACTTTGAGTATTTGCAGGTTTACATTTTTTTATTTTCTGTTTCCTTTTTTTTTTTTTGTTTTTTGTTCTTTGTATAGATCTGATGACTTTAAGTCCTTTTAAACTGATTTTTATAGTTTGTTGTTATTTTGTGTTGTTACACCACTGTTCCAGGTTAGAGGAACGGTTTGGAGCCAACGAACATGTGTTTAACCCCGCAACATTCTGTATGTCCCTGTCCCAAGCCAGGACCCTGTAATTCATTGGTTGTCGTTTGTTACCATATATCATATTTGTTTTTCTTCCATTGTTTTGTACATACATGAGGCCATTAGTTTTCTCGTTTAAATTGTTATACCTTTGTCATTTCGGGGCCTATTATAGCTTACTATGCGGTATTGCTTTTGCTCATTGTTGAAGGCCGTACGGAGGCACGTAGTTGTTATCTTCTACAGATGGGTGCAGTCTTAACCTTTTCAAAAGATAACTTAGAGCAGTCCTTATGACTAAAGTTAACTTGAGAAAATTTTAGCAGACCTTCAAGTTAACTTTATCCTTACCACAACAGACCTACGTCGTCAATTTTGGGACTGCTGCAGACCCTCGTCAGTTTGACCAGACCTGTGGACAGGACATGACCAGATCAGACCTGTTAATCTGTCCTGTAGACAAGACTGCTATTTGATAGACCAGTTTTGGGTCAGGTCTGATTTTTGATCGGTCCTAAGGATATATATCTTTTACTAAATTTGTTGATACATGAGTGTGATGATATTTTAATGATATTCATCAATCAAAGCATTCCTGTTTACTAGTTAACTTTATATCATGTTAACTTTATCTTGGAGCAGACCAGACCAAAGTTAACTTTTATAAGAACAGGTTTGGTTCGACAGAGCAGTCCAGATCAAGTCTTCTTTTTAAGTTAACATGAATTCTGTCCAAGAACCGATCGGAGCAGTCATAAATCCTGTAACCGCTAAATGTCTGTTTTTTTTTTCTGTCCCAAGTTAACTTCCAGCAGTCATAAAGTCTGGTCATCAAGTTAACTAGACGAACAGGTAAGGACTTTACCCATCTGTATGTCCTTTGGTCTGTCGCGGAAATTGTTTCTTTGACAATCATACCACATCTTCTTATTGATATTGTTTATACATAAAACTATTCAACGATGCAAAGATCAATATTTAGCTTAGAATCTACAGACGTATGTTTTTTTTATAAAAAAAATTAACAGCAAAATTATAGGATTTTCTGTTTTTTGTTTAAACTGACAGTTTTTTTAATAGAAACGAAATTCAGTACAGGCATACAACCAGAAAGAAGCTAGTTTAAAAAAATATATCTAAATGTTTACCTGTATGGCCTATCACTTGAACTTCTGCCAAACTGAGATAACCTTTACCGCTTCTCAAAAGTTTCACATGGCGGCCTGAGATTGGGCTCTTGCATGTTAACATTATTACTTGTCCAGCCTTACCAGATCCTTTGAAATTACTACAAAGTTTCATCTGATGACGATTTTGTCCAACTCTAACCGCTATATTCCTCAGCCGATTGCCTGAAAAGATATCAATATCAAGTGTCTATATCAATTGTTCAAAAATGGAATTCTAAGACTTCAATCTGTCTGTGCCAATCATCATATCACCGATTGCATTCAATATAGCTTGCACACTCTTTGTAATGAAACACATTTCAGTATCGAACAAATTTTACTTCAAAACCAATTTTCTTTTATTTTTCGTAAAGTATATTCATCCCATTGTTCATCAACAGGAAAATTGATACCAGATTCTGAAAAGCTGTATTCGATTACCAGGTTATAATATAGTTGATTTTTCCTATGTTTTATTTGAAAAATAAATATACCTAGAAAAGATTCTTGATTGTACAGGTACATTATTCATTATGAAGGCTGAAAACAAAGCAGACAATTTTACATTTTAAAAAAAAAATAGAAGTCTTTATCAAGAAGAACGATCCCATTAGAATAAAGTCATTTGCTCTATTTAACAAAAGCAATAGTGGGCTTAATGTTTGTTTTTGGCCAAAAGAATTAAAATTTTTATGACTTCTTCAAAGCGGAAGGGCAACGAAAAGGCTAAACTTAGCTTTAAATTAGACTGTGGTATCATATCTTAACAATTTTTTTCCCCGTTTAACACCCAGTTAAGGTATATTTCCTGTTGAAAAACACTGGCCACACACGTCCACCAAAATGAATTGGTCATAAAAATATGGAAATTGACAAGACACACATCCTAACAGATAATTACGGTGGTTCATGCATGTGGCGAAAGTCGTCAAAGGCAAAATCTGCAAACATTTTCCAAAATTTAGTCAAAACTATGAGTTTTATCGTGCGATTGCTCATTTGTGTCGTCATATATGACATCATTGCTGTTGTTAAATGTCAGAACTTGTTAAATTTCTATTCATGAGAGATTTAACATTTTTTTCTCTCATCAAATTTATACTTTAATTGCTGAAATGAATAACCTGGAATTCAAGAACCAAATATGCCTCTCCCTTAGCAGAAGCGTGTATTTTCACAAATGAAAAATACGATTTTTTTTGCAGTTCTCTATCCATGTTTCTTTTTAAGAAACAACTGAAAAGTCAAGAACTTTCAGAGAAGCGTTATTATGACTGTTCATTGGTTGATTTATGGTTGGTTATTTAACATCCGGTGGAAACTATTTCAGGCGTATTTAGGACGCGTACAAATAACATTTTAGAAAAAAGTTAGTGAGCTAGCTCTAATACCCCTTTCCTACATTTAAGACAGTAATATCGTCTTATGGAAATCAATTCTTAGCAAGAATGACATTCATTGTTGATCAAATGACCTGAAAATCAACATGTATCGTCCTCAAATGTATTTTTCTGACTCCTTACCACAGCATTTTTTTCTGTTAATGATATTGATCTGTTTCACGTTGACATTCACTTAAAATATATGACAATATATCGAAGAAAGGTTGTAATTCCTTAAAGGTGGCAGACCACCAATACATTCACTTCAATTTGAAACATATGTAAAGGTAGCTCTTCCCTGACAAAAAATAGTGCTTATAATGTCATTGTTTACTTAAACTAATCAACAAACTTGCAGAAATGAAACTTTTAGTGAGAGAAAAATATATGTAGACCATTTTGAGCAAAAATTTACTTGTCCATGAGTTTGTATTAAAAATTGAAGATTAATGCGCTCCATAGTATACACACATCTTATTATTTATATCTAAGATTTCCAGAAAACCAGGAGTTATTTTTAGTAGTACTTGACTTCCGAACAGTAGTATTTCATAACAAGACGACTTTAAACATTGGTTAAACATGGGCATGTAGAAAGTTGATACATGTACAATTCAGGATATACCTGCTTTCTATTAAGTTAAATTTAAGGTAACATATTTAGAAAGCTGCTAAAAATTGCAAAATTTTGTTGAATAGATAGGGGTTTTAAATTAGTGGTCTGACACCTATATTAGCCCATTAAACAGCTTTTCAAATTTCAGTCTTTTTTTAGTTTCTAAGTTCTTGACATTAGACAGAGTGACATCTCAAAAACAAAATAAATCGAACTCTCATTAAATGTGACTATTTTTCCTAGCAAAGTTATAACAAGGGCTCAGTTAGGAAATTGTTATTCCAAGACAGTATTGTATTTAATTATTAATATA